GGTGGCAGACATATATAATAAAAGTTGTAAATTGACATGTTTGATTTTTGAAGTAATTAATGTTAAATGATTTATCAAAATTTGAAGGGATTCGTTTCTTGTAAATGACGAAGTAAGTGGGTCGATGTGTCCAAGAAGTAGAGGAATCAATATAAATAAAATAAAGGTGTTTTGGTTTTTTTTTTTTTGTTTTTTTTTTATTTTAATTGTGTTATATAGTTAATTACTACTTAATTGAAATTGTTAATATATAATTAGTTAAAATATTTTACATGTAATTTTATAATTTTATGATTTGAGTTTATATTATATGTTCCATGTCGTGTTAAAAAAATATTTTCTAGAATCTTATAATATGGTATCTAATTGAGTATTTATTTATTTAAAAAGGAGTTTAACTAAAAAAATACGAGTTGAGAAACTTAAAGTTTTCTATTGTTTGCCTTGGTTAAACGAAGCTCCCAAGACAAGATCGAGCGCAAGAAATACAAGCTTTGCCATTTTTTTTTTATTACTGTAAAGTGAGCGACACTGATCTGTTTTATGTCATGAATGTTCTGTAAGGTTAATGAATTCATGAAAAAAAAAAATCAAATCTAAAGGTTAAAGCGGATTGTAAATCATTAAAAGCGGTTTAAGGTTGTTCAATAATTGCGTTAAGGAATGAAATAATTGAACTGAGATGAATTGTTGTTCTGATTGAAATTAAGATGGGTTCCATGCCATAAAGCATACAACGTTGTCGCGCGTAAAATATTCTTAAATTTCGGAAGAAAGTATTTTAAGTTTTTGGTTTGGAGCGTGCTGATTTAGAACAATTAGAACCCATAATGATAATTTCGAAGAACACGTCCACTTGGTAATCAAGACAGACTTGGAAGGTCATATGTCAAAAGGATGCTTGCTGTTTTCTTGTCATTCGCGAAAGCTTTTCCCCGTTCTCAAGGAAAGTGATCGAATTTGAATGGCTTAAAACGATCCAAGCACGTGTTACTACTTTTGTTTGGTGATGTAGTTCCCTTTTAAATTGTCTGTTTATTTAAAAAAATATCAAATTTATATTTTTAAAAATATTTTATGATATTCTTAACAAGCTTAAATAAAAAATAAATTAATTATAATGTATTTTTAATTAAAATATATTTATTTAAAAAATATCATGTTAATAAATACACAAAATATGTAGTTTAGAAACCAGTAATATCACAAGGTTAGAGTTTCTGCAGAGATTTAGATTACAAGCATCGTCGTATCAGGTTCATTTCTTCACTATTTTACATATAATACAGATAATATAATGGTGTTTCATGCATGTTTTAACTAGAATTTTTAAATATTTTGATTTTTTTTAAAATATTTTATTTTTATTTATTATTGTTTTAATATATTTATATTAAAAATAAATTTAAAAAATAAATAATTTTAAAAACACAAGTGAGTCACATGCCATTTGTTTCACGCTCTTGAAAAAACATTTAATTTAATTTTTAATTGAATTATTAGACAAAATATACAAATCAAGATTGTGGTAATTGACAAAACGTGTGACATTTTTTTTTGTTTGTGTGGTTGGTATCATGATGTAAAATATTCTATAAAAATATTTTATTTAAAAATATATTAAATTATTTATCAATATATTAAAATTATTAAAAAGCCAATTAATTTATTTTTCCAATCAAGTTCATTCTTAAAAAACATATACAAATAAAAGTTAGCCTTGCTTAGTACACGCTACCGCGTGTATCTAGCACTAAACAAAGGGAACTTATCAGGGCCTCGAAGGCTTATTGTTCCTCGAGGAAAAGTGAAGGCCGAGAAGCACTCGATTCAAACTTCGAAGCCCGCGTACTTGAAAAACACATGCACACGCGCGCGCCCCGTAGTGAAATTTATAGCAAAAGCCAAAAACGCGTCCCGTTGGAGACATGCGCGGAGAAACACGTAATTTGGATCAATATGCCACTTCGACGTCTGCCTTTAGATCCAAGCAAGGCTGTTAATTTCGTTTTGCTTCATTTAAAATAGTCAAAACATTTTATATTAATTAACAAAACAAAAAAAAATATGTTTTATTTTATTTTAAATTTCAATTATTTTTTTTTCAATTAAATTCCAGCAAAAATATTTCAGTTTCATTTTACAAGTGGCATTCCAATCTTAAAAAACCACCAAATCAAATTAAACTCAATTTAATTTAATTAATTAAATCATTCAAATATAATTTTTTCTCATTACTATTTTAAACAATAATAATATTAAAAATTATTATTATTATTTTTATTAAAAATAATATTTATTTTTTAAAATTAAATTTATCACTGATATATATAGTTTTATATTCATGTTGTTCTTTTTAAGTTTATATTTTATAGGAATATAAGTAAAATAAATGATGCTTCTGATCCCATTAACATAGATAACATTGACTTTACTTTATATTTAAAATATTTGTATCAAAGTATTTCAATTTTATAATATTTTAATATTTTATTTAAGTTGAATTATTTCAAGTTAAATATCTATTTAATCTTAATTATTTAAAAATATTTTAAATTTTAAAATTATATTTATTTAACATTATATTTATATTACATAATTTATAATTAATTTATTTTAAATTTAAATTATATATATATATAAATAATATAACTTTGAAACAACACGTTAAAATATTTTAAAACTAAAACATTTTATTTCAATTAAAAAAATAAATCACTGACCACAACAAAATTTGACAACCTTGGATCCAGTGTATTAAAAACTTACTACAAATCTTGCTAACAAGGTGTTTTAGGAATCTTAAGGTCCCACCAGCAAAGGCTTTGAAATACGCTTTGGTGCTTTCAACGTCGATGGACTTAAATAAGCTTTTGAGCTGCACTTACAAGAGGTTCTTTTGTCATAGTAGACATGGCAGTACAAATATTGGTGCCTTTATGTCACCAAGGTTCCCCCCTTGCTCTTATTTACCAAAGCTAGCCAGCAGGTATTGTCACTGTGGACACGAATCAATAACCCTAATCCTACCCCACCCGTCCTAACTTGCCCCATACAACAGGGAGGGAGACTATTTGAGCATATATTAGGTGAATCTCCGTAAAGAAACTAACCACATTGCTTCGACTTTCTCTTCCTTTCGTCGGACGAAATTAATCCATCAACTGCTCGGCATGTCATTTTATCAGATCTTAGATGATAGTCTCAATTGTATGTTAAATTAGACAACCTATTTACCCCTGCCCCCCTGCCATTAGTAGAGAAAAGTAAGCTCCCACGTCACCAAACACGTAGCCACTGTTGGGCCACGAAGATTTGATACACAGGCGGGCTTCGATAAACACGGTCCCCATGGTAGTGTGGGTCCAATTCGGACATAGAGGGGGGTCCGTCTGGCCTTGCATGTGAAAGACATGATGAAGTAATAGTTGTCAGTAGACTAAAATATGTAGAGTGTAGGTTACCCTTTAAGCATATTACTGGTGTAATGGCCGTTAGATGGACCAAATGTCTCCACAAAGGTTACGGGACTACCTGTCACGTTCCTACTACCCCACTTTTGACAACCCTAAGAAGACCTGTTTGTAGGAGCTCGGCCTTTCGTTCTCAAATCTCATCAATCAAAACCAGAGGTCATCTCCCTGGTCATGGCATCCTATATATTAACCTCTGTCACTGGGACTCTGCATCTCACCCTGAAGTACCCGAGTCGATACGAAACACGGGTCCGATACCCCGCTTAAATTTCGGATCCTTCAGATAGATGAAGAAGAAGAAGATGAAGGATGCGGGTCTCGGTTTTGATGCAGGGAAACTAAAGCCTTTTTCCTGATAGGCAAAAAAATAAAAGTTGTGGGCCTCAGTTTTACATTAGCCCACCCTTTTAAGTTATAACTTGACCTTATAGCTATGAAATCTCATTGGGCCTAGGATTTAAGCTATTTAGGCCTTGTTAAATAATGTTTTAGGCTTGTAAACAATCTATTAGACTGGGCCATTTGAGATAACTATGTGTATATTGATACCGAAATGAAGAAAAGTTGTAAGACTTGACCCAGTTCTTATCCTTTTCACAGCTCAGATCACGGGTTGAGTGAATTATCCCGAGTAATCCATCATTGAATCAATGCCTCATCTGGGCAGCTCTGTATGATTAAAAATACAGTAAACGAAGTCTATGGTTAGGAATTGATCTTAATTTTTTTTTTTGCAAGATTTTACAAGATGAATATATATCATTTTTTTTCCATTCAAATTGTATCGAAGGTTTTCAAAAGTATTTTTATATTGATAATGCATTTTTTTTTTTAATTTTTGATATTAGAGCATTAAAATCTTTCTAAAAAATTAATTTAATATTTTTTTTAAATAAAAAATAATTTTAAAAACTTTTAAAAACGAGCACAAACTGAAAAAACACACGATGAAACTGAGAGTTGCTCAGTGGCATATATATTCTAATGCTTTCAACTTGTATCTGGTTCAGAGCTAGCATGACATGTTTGTATATTTTGGTGATTTTTTTTAATGAATTTTTTTAAAAATTATTTTTTTAGATTGTTTTAATGTGTTGAAATCATAAATAAAATTTAAAAAATAAAATTTATTATTCTAATATAGTTCCAATTAAGAAAACACATTAAAAAAACAACAATTAGTACAGTTTCATTCACTAAATTTATTACATGAAAATCGGAAGAAGTAGGAAATTAGACCCCAACACTTGCTCCTCCGTCTGATTTCTAAATATATAAAATTATTCTCCTCTGATTACTGGAGATTTATTTCAGCATCAAATCATATCAATCAACTTTAAACAGGAGTGGAGGCAGTATTTTGTCTGCAGCCAATTTAGTCTGTCTGAGCGAGGAAAGCAATGGTCCCCTACATCGGAGTTCGGTTCCTATCATACATTCGGAAATAACATCAGGATGCTTTATCAATCCCAGCAAAAACTTTCACCATTTTGGCAATTCTCTTAATTTTAACCTACATGGATGGATTTATAACAAACCTTCTCCTCTCCCTTCACCTCTCTTCCATCTCTAATATTCTTCTCTTTATATCATTAAGAAAAGAAAGATTCAGAATTAAATTCGAAGGTGCTAGCTACTATCAATTTGGAGGAATAGAGAAGTTTAAAGAGAGAAGGGGGTCATCAAGTAGAGAAAGTAATAGGAATATGGCAAGAGGGAAGATCCAGATCAAGAAGATTGAGAACTCGACTAACAGGCAAGTTACTTACTCCAAAAGACGAAATGGTCTCTTCAAGAAAGCTCATGAGCTCACTGTTCTTTGTGATGCCGAGGTCTCTCTTGTCATGGTTTCTTGCACTCACAAGGTCCACGACTACACTAGCCCCTCCACTACGTATGTCCCATTTCTCTCCCTCGTTTTCTTTTCCTGTCAAACCCTTCTTCCCTTCTATATATTTTTATTTTATTTTATTTTTCATTGCCAGAACGAAGCGGATATTTGATCAGTATCAGCAGACTAAGGGAATAGATCTTTGGAGCTCCCACTATGAGGTGTTAAATTATATATAATTTCTATTATCTTTTTTGTGTGTGCTAAGTCAAGACCCTCTGTGTTTCTCTGTAATGGTATAAAGCTTGTGTGCTCAGATAATGAAAGAGAAATTGGAAAAACTGAAAGAGGTGAACATGAAAATCAGGAGGGAGATGAGGTGATAAAATGCCTGAAATTTGTTGTCCATATGATCGTTATTCATAGGTGGTATCTGTTCTGTTTTTTGCTAAATTTTTTTATGTTGTCGTGATTATACTTTACAGGCAGAGGATGGGTCAGTGTTTGAATGATTTGAGCTTTCAGGATCTGCACAGTCTTGAGAGCGATATGGAAAGTGCTTGGAGGGTTATTCATGACCGTGCGGTAAGATATTCGGCCCAGCTCACAGCATTTTTAGGGTTCTGAACAAGGAAAATCTGCTGGACAGCTCAAACTGTCACAAGAATGGATATAAACAACAATTCTGGTCTATTGACATGCGTATTTCAACTTCTACGTTTTGCTCTTAAGCTATGAATACTTCAGCTATGAATGTTTCAGCAAGAATTTGTCTGGACAGCTCTTTTGTTTCTTTAATTTGGAGCAAATCAACTGAAAACTTCAACTCAACCACTATAATACTGTCTTCTGGTGACAGGATCGTGTGCTTACTAATCAGATTGAAACTTCCAAGAAAAAGGTATTCCCGTTTGATCATATAGTTCTGTCCATCTTCTTTGATGTCCTTTTGTCTTGGATATTTGAGTAATTGGAATCGATTTCTTCTTATTGTTCCGTTAAAGGCGAGGAATGTGGAGCAAATCAACAGAAAACTTCATGTGGAACTAGTAAGTATGGAGCTCCAACGAGCTAGACAGGTAGTAGAGATTATATTATTAACGGAAAATCTTGAAGCAAATGTTTCACTTTTTGTTATGAAGGAAGCAATGGATCAAGATCCATACGGATTGGTTGACAATGGAGGGGACTACAATTCTGTTATGGGATTTTGAAATGAAGGTCCTAGCATATTTGCTATGCGATTGCAACCCCACCAGCCTAATCTTCCCAGGGAAGCAGGGCCATCTCTCACAACTTACCCCTTGCTTTGAGTATTGTCAGCTGAATTGAGGTTACTCTACATCCAAGTTGCTTAAAATTATCCATGTATTGACCGTTACCAATCAGAAATACTCGAAAGGCTTTGCTTTTAAGTATCTGTAGAATGAACTTGTATTATCCCGGACTGCTTCCATCTTGACAGCTGATATGCTGCGGACGCCTGCTCTTCACTAATTATTAGTCTAATGATTCCTACGCGTTGCTTGATGAAATATGTTGTTCATCAGCTGAAATATTCGTGCACTACATGCATCTGGCCTGATCAATTTAGTAAGTTAGCGGCATCCCACTCAGCTGCTGAAATTGCATCATGTATTCTGCATTCTTCATTTCCTTTGTTGATTTAACCTTAACGAAAATTGCTCGATGATATAGGATGTTCATCAGCTGAAATATCCGTGCACTGCATGTAACGAACCATTACAAAATTAAGAGTAAACATGTAAATAAAAAAAATATATATGGAATCAATTATTTTTTTAAAAAAAAACTACAGGAACTAGAATAAGGTCTTATCAAGTCGTCCATGGCATTTCTAAAATTCTTGCAACCAAATGATGCACGAAACATAATAAGCTGATTTTACTCAGAGTTTTGCAAACTATAGATGCTTTTATCTTCCTATTTTAGTACCAATAAGGATTTTGTTAGATCTCTTATTGTTGCACGCAATTCAGCTGCTCAGTTTGCTCTTGCATTGATGAGTTCTTGGGCATCAATAATTTTCAAAAAGGATGCCCATCATCTAAACTTGAACAGGCACGCATGCTTGTTTTTTCTATATTTTTTTCATCACCACATGACATTCGTGGAACCATTTCCGTCAAACTGATAGAATCACTGTGTGACATGTAACCCTTTTGAGAAAGGGACTTGGTCAAATTCTTTTTCAGAGTCTGCGGCATCGTTTCAAGACTCTGTTTGGCTTCTGGTACAGAAAAGGATAGTTGAATTAACGGGTCAATTTTAAAATTAATTTTTCAATTAAAAATATATTGGAATAATTTTTTTAATATCAGCACATTCATACAAAGGAAAAAAAACATATAAAAAACATGAATTTAATATTTATTTTAAAAAAAACTTAAAAATTAGAAAGTTCTCAGGAAATTATTTAGAACATCCTTGGAAATTGGAATTGACACCCTTACGATAATAATTGTCAGCATCTACAGGTTTCTGTAAGAACCAACCAGTTACCCGACCATTACCTAATCATCATCAAATAATTAATAAAGAAATTGATCGGAAGCTTTTAGCACAAGTAGGAACACATGTTGACAACTTCCTCGACGTTCCTTGTTCTTTTACTTGCGACACTTGCACTTCCTTTCCAATTAAGGCCAGCCTTACCCATCATTCCAGAACAATAAGAATAAATCCCTCAATGCCATCCCAGGCAACATCTCGATCAGATTCTCTGTCTAATGCCGAGGAAAAAAAAGTTTATTCCTTCGATGCCATCCAAGACTTGAGGAGATTAGTTTCAATCCAGATAGACAATTAGCCCCAAGAGGAGAAGAAAAAAACTTGATCTTAGCATCAATGCACTGTCCATTTTAGATTTTACTGAGGGCTAAGTAGATTCAAGATTTTAAATTTTATCTCTGAAGATTATCGGAACTAATTGATTTTATCAAATATTGTTTTAAATTCACTCGAAATCAGACAAGAATGATGTTTTATTCAAGGATTTTCAAGTGGTTTTAATGTAGAAGTTCAATTGATTTTCAGCCAGAAAGATAAAATTGAGATAGATTCTATTCTATTTTCAATAGGATAATAATTCTAGACTGAGAGATTTTTTTGAAAAAAGTTAGACAGTCACGCTTTCTTTCTTTTTTTCGAGAATAATATTTTATTTTCCATTAAATATTCCTATATTATCTCGGAATACGAGGGAAATTCAATTTCCTTCTAATCACGAAATAAAAAAGAAAAAAGAAAAAATAAATCAAAAGCCGTTATTTTCACAGCCTAGCAGCAAAATCTTTCTGCCCCACACCCCGTAATTCGCTTAGACACAACTACCCCCATATAGTGCGAAACAACAAAAAGGCAATTCAATTTCGGCTCTGAAAAGGAAGCTTAAAATCCCGACTCGCCGCCTCCCCAACCAATTAACTTTATCTAATTTTCCATCTCGAGACGGACAACAGCCGTTCACGGCGACAGGTCACCATCACCGATAGAGTAAGCGGTGGAGAGAACCAAAGCGGTGACTCTTCTCAATTCTCTTCAAGGGTAGTTTCGTCAGATTCACGTAATCTCAAGAGTTCCTCTTTTTAGTCAAAAGGTCAAACCCCCAGGAACACTCATTCTGCCCGCGACAGACAATTAGCAAAGTTTCCCAGTTCCCCGTCACCTGAGAAAGCAGTAGTTGGCACACGTGCCCTTCCCCGACGTTACTTCCATAGCTTTTTTCATGAAATCTCAGGTCACCTGAGAGAGCCGACGCACCAGCAAGAACCAGACTCCCTTCACTGTCCATGCTTCTATAAAAGAAAAGCCTCCAGCTGCTTCTCTTGCATGTTTATTTTTTAGGCATGGGAGCTCTCGGCCCTGCCTCTCCTTGGATTCCAGAAGATGACGTTTTGTTAAAAAACTCTATTGAGGTAAAAATCTTTTTTTCATCATCATTATTATTTCACCAATTCTTTGTTAATTGAAAAAAAAGTGAATAAAACCCATCTTTTTACACTAATTATTTTTATTTTTTATTGTTATTCTGTAATGGTGGATTTTTCTTGTTTTCAAGTATGAATTTCTTGAAACAAAGATTATTCTGTTTCTATCTTTTCTTGTAGCATGGATTTTGAGGACATAATTATTGCTGTATTTGATGTTTTAATTAGGGCAGGATTTTCAGCATGTTAAATGGCCAATATCGAAGAAAATCTGATTTCGAACTTGGCAATAAATAGAGTTCTTAACATGTGAAAAAGAATGGTTAATTTTTTATGCTATGATAGTGTTGTTTGGTGAGTTTCGATTTTGTTAATGGTAAATGATGAGTGTCCGGTTCTGTTTTTCGGATATACTGGTTTTGGTGATTGTGAGATTCTATGTGGCTTCGGTAATCTTATGATAGCTGTTATCAGAGGCATTGAGATATTAAATATGTAAGGTATAAGCCAGGAGGGATATTTGTAATGCTTCATTTTCGCAAGGAATTTAAAATAGGAAATTTCTTCATGAGCCAGTGCAAAAGGGGGGATTTAGTGGTTCTGGTGGTTGCACTGCAGACAGGAGAAAACATTGGTGGTGATATGTATCAGCAACACCAATTATTTTTCTAATTCGCTGGCATGACCTTGCATAAGTATTTCAAGAAGAGAAATTTCAGGTGTCTGTGAAAGAGAGGTCTTGCGTTCTTTTATTCGGACTGTTGTCTATACGCTTTTACTAGTGCATGGCAGTAAGAAAAAGAGAGATGACAGCCATGGACATGGCAAGGTGTAATACATGAGGAAAACATTGAATACTAAGTTGAAACCATGAAAATTTAAGTTGTGGTTGTTGGCTAGGATGTCTGTGTGAACCGTTGCATTTGTGAGTGAAGTTTTGCTCCCATTGCATCCATAGGAATTTTTCCATTAACTCTTTTTGCTTGCAGTTTTGACGATATAGTTATTGACAGTGAAATTTTTTTTTCTTCATCTGTTAGAACCATTGTTCTTATTGCTCTCTTTATTAAGCTTTTTTTAATATATATGTGTGTTTATAGACTGTTTAAAAGTAGCAGTACATGGGTTTTAGTAGTTGTACCACTTTTTTATGCTTCTTAAGACTGAAAAACCTTGTCAATTGATGCTTGGTGCAGCTTCTTATCTTATCTTTTTTTGTTGTTGTTGTGGGGTTGGATCTTTGGTTTGCTACCATTGTCTAATTAAATATCAATTGTTAAAGCTTGCTGACTTTTGTTCAGTGTGATTGTTTTGGGAATCCCTATTTATTTTTGTTTCTTTATTATGTTTTGCAGGCTGGTGCTTCCTTGGAATCACTGGCGAAAGGAGCAGTACAATTTTCTCGAAAATTCACTGTTCGAGAAATACGAGATCGCTGGTATTCTCTCCTTTATGATCCGGTTGTTTCTTCAGAGGCTGCTTTTCACATGACTGAGTTTGAGTGTTCTGCATCGACTTTTCCATCAAAATTCAGTAGAGCTGGAAATTCAAAAGAAAATAAATGTTTTTCAGGGAAGAGGAAAACTGAAAGTGTCCGCCATTGTTACTATGCTCCGCGTAAAAGAATTTGCAGCAAACCATTTAATTCTATGGAGTTGAGTTTTCTTGATTCCCCCAATAATAACAATTATGTTGGCAATGAATATGAGCAATTATCCAGACAATGCATGCTTGGAGATCCAGTTACAGATCACTTCGCACTTCAGGAATCTAATTTGGACATGATGCATCATGTGTTTCCTCAAATTGTGAGTAGCGGTACTGCCCATGCCTTTGATACCGAATTCCATAATACAACTCAAGAAGATTATTCAATGGTGCAAGACAATATACACAATCACATTCCCCATATACTTGGAGAGGATCTATCTAACACCGAAAACAGAACCGTAGTCGAGGAACTCAGTCAACAACTGCCAGTTGATGATGACTTGTTACATGGGTGCTCTAGCTTTGATGGAAATGATGTCCTTAGTTCACCAGTTCCAGAGTGTAGTTTGTCATTTCACAATTTGGAGTTCTCTTCTCCACTTCCTGAGATGCCTATTTGGAGAATGGATGAAGAGATTTCAGTGCCAGATATTCCAAACAATCTTGGATTATGTGACAAAGATATGCACCGTGGTGATGCTTTTTCACTCCTTGATGATGGTGATATTAAGAATGCATGTTCGACAAGTTTTGATGATCTCCAAAAAGACTCAGAGTTAAAAATGGAAATACTGAGTGATGTGCCACAAAATTCATCTCATAGCACAGAAGATTTTCTGGCTGAACTTACCAATTATTTGTCTAATGATGAGGAAGGGGCAAGTGTGGATATGGATGGAAAAGATTTCAGCACCAATTCTTACATTGCTTGTCTCAATACAATTTTGTTGGATTCACCAAATAATTCTAACGAAAATCACAGGCCCCATGTAACTGAACCAGAAGCATCAATATCAGCAGACTGTTTTAAAAATCACTCAGGTGCTTGTCCTGGAA